TAGCATCACCTTCATACCAAGGCAGACAAAAACAACACAAGGAAACATTAAGGCAAATATTCCTAAAGAACATAGATACAAAACTGCTCAATAAAAACTAGCAAACCAAATCCCACAGCACCTCAGAAATATTTTACACTATGGTCAAATAGGATTTATCCCTGGAATGCAATGTTGGTTCAACATAGGCAAATCAATAAATGTGATAACACTACATTACCAGAGTGAAGTTAAAACTGCACAATCAATAGATGTCGAATATGAATTTGACAACATTCAACACTCATCCATGATATTAAAAGGATGAGACAAAATAGGCAGAGAAGGAATTTACCTCAAATCAATAAAGATCATTTTTAGAAAAGCTCACAGCTAGCATCATAATCAGCTGGAAACACTTGGTAGAAGGCAAGGATGCTCAGTCTCACATCCATTCAACACAGTACTGGAAGTCCTACCCAGAACTACTTGGGATGAAAAAGAAATAAAGGGCATTCAAGTCAGAAAGGAAAAAGTACAATTCTCTTTTTGCAGATGACACATTCCTACTAGTGACACACTCCAAAGACTCCATAATACAAAACTGTAAGAACAAAATAAATTAAGTAAATAAAAATAAATCACTATTTCTTAATACATGCAAAAAGAAAAAAATGAAAGCCATTAAAACACTGGTTAGACATTTGGTCCTGGCAGTTAAGATGCCCACATCCCATTTGGGAGTACCTGGGTTCAATTCCTTGCTCAACTTCTGATTCTACCTTCATGTTAATGTGCACTGTGGACAGTGACAGGTGATGGCTCAAGTGGTTAGATCCTTGAAATCCACATAGGAGACCTGGATTGAATTCTTTGCTCCTGGCTTCAGCCTGGCCCAGTCATTGTAGGTATTTTTTGAGAGGGAACCAAAGATAGATTCTCTCAAATAAATAAATTTTTTTAAAAAATAGTAAGAAATGTAACCAAGGAAGACACCCTGAAAACGAAAAAAACACTGATGGAAGAAAGAAATTGAAGCACTAAGAAAGATATCCCGCATTCATTAACTGAAAGAATTAACACTGCTAAAAAATTCTCATACTACCTAAAGCAATCTATACATTCAACAAAATGCCTATCAAAATTTCAATGCTATGGGCCAATGCCATGGTGCAGTAGGCTAAACCTCCACCTGCAGTGCCGGCATCCCATATGGGTGCTAGTTCTAATCCCAGCTGCTCCACTTTTGATCCATATTTCTGCTATGGCCTGGGGAAAAAAAAAATGGCCCAAGTCCTTGGGCTCCTGCACCCACATGGGTGACCCAGAAGAAGTTACTGGCTTTGCACTGGCCCAGCTCTGAGAGTTGTGGTGGCCATTTGGGGAGTGAACCAGTGGATGAAAGATCTCTCTTTCTCTGCCTCTCTGTAACTCTGCCTTTCAAATATATTAATAAAGCTTAAAAAAAAAAAAGACAATTCACATGAACCACCAAAGCACTCAACTGAACAAGAACAACAAAGTTGGAGGGATCACAGGATCACACTTTTTGATTTAAAATTCTATTACAAAGATACAGTAATCAAAACTGCTAATCCAGCCATTTGGAGTGACCCAATGGATAGAAGATCTCTCCCTCTCTCTACCTTTCAAATAAACAAATATTTAAAAAATAAAATAAATTTTAAACAATTTAAACAATTTAAAACAGTATAACACTGGCATGAAAATACAATAAACCAATGGATCAGAAAAGAGATCCCATAAATACACCCACACACAGGACACCAAGAAGACACAATAGAGAAAAGATCGTTTTATTCAATAAATGATGTTGGGAAAAATAAATAGCTACATGCAGAAAAGAATTTAGACCTTTATCTTATCCCAAATACAAAAATTAACTCAAAATGGACTACCAATTTAAATGTAAGGCCTGAAACCATAAAAATTCCTGTAAGAAAACAGAGTAAAAGTTCTCCGACTTTGGTCTTGGCAGCAATTTTTTTTAAAAAAAATATAATACTAAAAGCACAAGTAACAAAAGCAAACAAATAGGACTACATCAAACTAAAAAGCCTCTGAGCAAAAAAGGAGACAATAAACAAAAACTCAACCCACAGATTATGAAAAACTATTTTCAAACCATACACTTAACAGATCTGTTATGTGATAATATCCAAAACACACAGGGAACTTAAATGAATAGCAAACAACATTAATAACAATTGTATTTAGAAATGGTCAAAGGACTTGAATGGACACTTTTCCAAAGGCATGCAGGTGGCCAAGGAGAGTGCGCTCCACATAACTGATCATCAGGGAAATGTAAATCAAAGCCTCAAGCTATTACTGCCTGGAATCAAGTCCCACCTCTACTTCCAATCCAGCTTCCACCTAATGTACCTGGGAAGCAGAAAATGGCTTAAGTACTTGGGTTCCTGCCACCCACTTTGGAGACCTGGATGAAGTTCCTGGCTCCAGCTATGGTCAGGACTAGCTCCAGTTGTTGCAGGCATTTGAGGAATGAACCAGAAGATGGGAAATTCTGTCTGCCTTTCAAATAAATGTTTTAAAATTGTAAATAGAATCATTAAGATCTAGAGCCGGCGCCGTGGCTCAATAGGCTAATCCTCCACCTTGCGGCGCCGGCACACCGGGTTCTAGTCCCGGTTGGGGCGCCGGATTCTGTCCCAGTTGCCCCTCTTCCAGGCCAGCTCTCTGCTATGGCCAGGGAGTGCAGTGGAGGATGGCCCAGGTGCTTGGGCCCTGCACCCCATGGGAGACCAGGAAAAGCACCTGGCTCCTGGCTCCTGCCAGGATCAGCGCGGTGCGCCGGCTGCAGCGGCGGCCATTGGAGGGTGAACCAGCGGCAAAAGGAAGACCTTTCTCTCTCTGTCTCTCTCTCTCACTGTCCACTCTGCCTGTCAAGTAAAGGAGAAAAAAAAAAAAAGAATCATTAAGATCTAGCATTATGTATTGAGTACACATCCAACAGAAATAAAATCAGTATTTCAAAGAAATTTCCATCTTTATTACCATGTTTACTGCAGCATTATTCCCAATAGCCAAGACATGGCAGCCATGACAGATGAATGGATAAAAAAAACTGTCATAACATGAAATATTATTCAGCCTTAACAAGAGGGAATCTTGTCATTTTCAACAACACAGGTGAACATGGAGGACATGATGCTGAGATAAGTCAGACACAAAAAGAAAAATTCTGCATGACTGCATTCATGTTTGTTATGGTCTGAATATGATTTTCCCCTGCACTCACTAAGGAGCTTAATTCCCAAAGTCCACTGCTAGGTACTAAGAGGGCAGAAATTTAACCTGATTGTGTTATTTACAGATGAGTCCTTTGAAGAGTGATTAGATATTAGGTCAGTAGGCTGGGGCCCACATGATTTAATTTTGGTGGCTTTATAAGGAGAAAAAAAGAGACCACACATTATAGCCAGACATGCATAGTCTTTTGCCTTGTGATGTCCTGTGCCAACTCCAGATTCTACCAGTAAGAATGCTATCTCCAGAAGCCAACCGATGAGCCCTGACCGATCTTCAACTTGAACCTCCAGAACCATGAGCCAAAAGACACAAACCACACATTTATACAGCTAGGCTGCCTTAGGTCTTTTGTTATAGTGACAAAAAGCCGGCTGACACAATGTTGAGTCTAAAAAAGAAAAATTCATAAAAGCAGAGAGTAAAATGGTGGTGGAGATATTGGTCAGAGGTAAAGTTTCAGTTATGTACGTTCCAGAACTCTACTGTACAGAATAGTGACTGTGGCTAACAGTGCTGTATTATATATGTGAAATTTGCTGAGAGATCTAAGTGTTCTCACTACAAAACAGAGACAGATATCATCAGCCAAATTGTAGCAATCAGTTCACTACATCAAGCATTATATTTTATATCTATACATAAAATAAAATTCCATTTCAGTTATCCTACATGGGTATAGTTTTCTTCATAATTCACTATTTCCTAAAATTATAGTCTACAACTGTCCATTTTTTTCCTCAAGTAGAACACATCCTCTGTGATGAGAAAGCCTTGGTATGTCTTAGCAACCCCTGAAATAAAGTGCGGTATATAGCAGACACTCTAAAAATAGAGTGAATGAATAAAACAAATTGGAAATCTGGGAAGTAACAAATACTAACAAAGGAAGAGAGGAAATTTATAAAGAGCTGATTGATAAAAATCTGGACCATAGAATAATTTTTGTTTGAGCCTTAAGAGGGCACCCATTGTTACCTGAGGTTCCTATCTAAATTCTGATGCTTTCAGCACCAGGACAGATTTACCTTCCACCTGCTCCACACGGTGCAAAAACGGTAGCTAGGTAGTTAAGACACCCGAGTGACAGATTCAGCTCTGCCATTAACTTGCTCCGTGACTGTGAAAAACACTTCCCTTCTGCAGATCCCCGTTTCCTCGATGGTCGGGGCACTTAGGCATTGAGAAGGGATTTCACTGCAGCCACTGTTATGTACCTGCTGACAGAAATGCCAGCCCAGAGAACGCGCTTCCTGACTGCTGAGTGAATCAATCAATCAATCAATCAATCAACAAACGAACTAGAGGAGGCTGCGTCTCACTACTGAATCGTAAGAAACACGGCCTACAAATGAGTTGATCCAGCACTTTCACGTCCGTGTTTCTAAGTCGACTGTTCTACGCAAGTGCTGCTCACACCGCACTCGGTCACTCGCACACGTGGTCCATACTGTTTGCTTAATAAATGAATGAATGAAATGGAAGGAAAAGAAGGTGCTATTCCACCATCACAGGAGGAAAGTGAAACCGAGGCGGGAAGGGCCTGGGCCGCATCAGTAGCAGAGGAGGCGCTGAACTCAGGCCCTTACCCTACCTTGTCGCCCCTGCACTGAGCAGGCTAAGGACCAGGGCTTAGTAACAAGACATTCCTTCCTGAACTCGTCCTTTCACCGCCCTCAGCTTCTCTTATTTTTCTAGAACGTGACCCACAGTCCAATCTTCAGCTTTACCTGGACCGAGACCAAAACTCTCTGCGCGTCACTCTTGCGACCATCCACGCAAAGCCTCTTCTACCAACACCGCACACTGCCAGACCCGCCATCTTCCAGGAGAGCCGCGACACTGAGCTCAAGCCCTCCGCCGTCGGCGGCGCGCCCAGGCCAGCCAATCGGATGTCAGCTTAGTAGCACGGTTTCCCTTTTCCCGGTCGTCTCCCGTGCCCTTTGCACGCCGGGAAATGTAGTCCTGCGGCCACTGCCGGGGGAGGCTGGGCTGCGACGCTCTTGGAGCATGACGGGAGTTGTAGTTTGGGGGCGTCCGGAGAAGGTTCCGGGTGACGCCTTCTGGTCCGGGGGCGGACGGTCATAGAGCTGCTTGGCTGCAAGGAGGAGGAACTGGCATCTGGAAGGAGGCTGTAGAAAGGCCTGAAAGGCTGCGCAGCCACGCAAGGGTTGGGGTTCAAGGTTGGGGTGCAGCCAGGGGGTGTGTGTGATATGCTCCGGGGGTCGTGACCGCTCAGGGACCGAGGCAGGACCTGGCTGGACACAACCAGGAAGCCTTGTGTTCATCAGGCCTAATTTATAGCTGCAGGGTAGGCCTTACCAGAGGCTCCTTTCTGTGTCGCCGCCCCGGTTGCTACTTCTATTCTCTGGCCAGGAGATGGCCTCCCCAAGCCCCCCGCCGGAGCCAAAGGTAAGTCCCCCTGGGGATCCCCGTTGTCTCGCCACTCCGCGAGCTAGGCCGCACCACTGTCCCCCACCCCAGCCTCCGGAGCGCCGTTTATAAGGGCCACCGCCGTGCAAGGAACTCCCTCGGAGTTCTCTGGGGGTGCGCTTCGCGAACAAACTGCCCACCGGCTCCTTTTTTCCAAGAGCGGCTTGATAAATGGGCTGGAGAAAATTAGTAATGCTCCAGGCTCTCTCATTTGTGAGTTCCTCCAGGTGAGGCACCATTTTTGACCTTCCCTTGTGTCTTCTGCGCCTGGCACGAAGCCTGGACCCAAGGTAAACGCTTAGAGAAGCTCAAGGAATTGAATTGGATCGCAAGCCAGTGCGAATAGAGAATTGGAGCAGGGCAATGAGGTAAGGGAAGCTTGGAGAGGCTTGGGGCCGTTTACCAACATTAAAATGTTAAGATACAGTTATTCAACCAGAGAAGCCTTATGCTTAGGCTCCTCATGTCAGGACAAGTATACATCCCAGTTTGACCCCCTAGCCTGAGGTGCTTCTCTGTTGCAGTCGGTTCCCAAAATTGGCCATCATTTGGAACTCTCAGTTACCATGTTCCTCATAGAGTGATAAATGATCGCTTCTGCCACTTGTAGTGGTAGAATTGTCCTTGAGACAACAGGAACTGACGACAGAAATCATACTATTTCAGGGGTTGCTGACATTTGAGGATGTGGCTGTGTTTTTTACCCAGGAGGAGTGGGATTATCTGGATCCAGCTCAGAGAAGTCTGTATAAAGATGTCATGATGGAGAATTATGGAAACCTGGTCTCACTGGGTAAGAATCTGCTGTTTCTCTTATTAAAATATCTAAGACTCAGACTTCCTAGACCGGTACCCAGACTGCTTTGTTCCTAAGTTCTGCTGCAAACCTTCCAGCCCTTTATTATTTCCATGACTTTCGTCCCTAGCTTCAAAAATGAGCACAACGCAAGCCTTTCTGTCTTCATAATCGTCTTCCCATATTGCTCTGTACTTTCCCTCCTGGCTTCTCCTCCTACTGCTCTCCTCCCACCCCTTTCACTCTGCCTGCTGGAGCCTCTGTTCCTCTTCACATAATGTTCCTTACCAGTGCTGCCGGCCCTGAAACCTGGCGCTCTGCCAGGGACACCATTTCCTCCGGCAGACCTTGGTGAGGGGGCTGCTCATTCTCCCCCCGCCCCCTTTCCTCATCCCTGTCTTAAGGCTGGAAGGGAGAAGTTACTGTTCTCGCTTTCCAGTGCTGTTTCCTAGGCATTAGCTTTCCACCTTCAAACAGAATCTCTCCTCCTCTGAATCTTCAGCAGCCTTGCTCTACTCACTCCATTCCCTTTCTTGGTCTTCTGTCAACATATTCGTTGGTCCCTCATGCATAATTATCACACTTTTGCTGTCTTCTCTACTTTAACCCATGCCTTTGATAACCCAGTGACCCAGTCAGTACTTGAGCCTCAGTGGAGCTTGACCATAGACGTAGGGCACCATTTTTATTCATCAACTCAAAGCACTGATGACCAACTTTTGAGACAATGGTGTTTATTGACTGTAAGTAGACAAAGGTGACCAAAAAGAGACATTTTCTTTATGCCCTTGTCAAGCAGACTACAACTTACCTATCATTCCTATTCCTTTCCACCTAAACCTATTCGTTCTTAATGAACTTTGTGTCTCTTGGAAGATCGGTTTTTTCACCAATGTGTCAATCCTAAATGTCACCTCCTCATCTTATCATCTTACCACCTTGATATTATGCTCTACCTGTTCTACAAACTTCAAGTCCTGATTTATTATTAAATCTGCCTTTTCTTTTTCCTTACTTGAGTTGCTAAACACAGCAGGAAAAATTTTCTAGCCAAAAGGGTTGATGGCCCTTATGTATGTATGGGTTTTTTCCTTATAGTCTTCATTGGGTTTTTATGTCTCAGTGTTTTTGTTTGTTTGTTCTTTTGTCCTTTTTATGCTCACTCTCCTGTTGCTTTCAGTGACTTTTCCAAAAACTTAAGTAGTTTTTATTGGGCCCATCAGTCAGTAGTGGACCTCACCTTCTGTTTCACAGAGAAAGTAGAAGCCACTAAGCCTAAACTCTCAACTTGTCTGCCCCTCATCTGCACACTTGTTTCTGTCTTCTCACTTCTCCACAATTTATCAGCAGTTGTCTTTTGTTCCCTCTTACAACCTCAGTCTGTATTCTTTCCTTTAGTAACTTTATCCTAATGATAAACATGTTTATGATTCTTCCAGTTGGGCAAAAAGAGAAAAAATAATCCTCCTTTTTGCCAGTCTCCCTCTTATTGCTCTAAATAACTTGGTCTCTTCACAGCCAAGTTTCTGTAAGATAGTTAATGTGTTCTGTTCCTTTCTACCTACCTTTGTCTTTAAGCCCCTTTGGCATCCCTCTAACACTCCCCTTAAATTGTTTAACCATGATACATGTCAAATTCAGTAGATTCTTCTTGGACTTTATTTTATTCCATCTGATTGTAGATAGTTTAAAGCTCTTTATTACTTCCCTCTGTTGCAAGGGTGGGGAACATCCAGCCTGCAGGCTATATAAGGCCTGTGGAAACCATTTGGTCTGGCCCTGCCAAGGCAACTGCTGGCAGGACTCAAAATTCAATAAATGTGTAGCAGGCTAATTTTTTTTTTTTTTTTTTTTTGACAGGCAGAGTGGACAGTGAGAGAGAGAGACAGAGAGAAAGGTCTTCCTTTGCCGTTGGTTCACCCTCCAATGGCCGCCGCGGCCGGCGCGCTGCGGCTGGCGCACCGCGCTGATCCGATGGCAGGAGCCAGGAGCCAGGTGCTTCTCCTGGTCTCCCATGGGGTGCAGGGCCCAAGCACCTGGGCCATCCTCCACTGCACTCCCTGGCCACAGCAGAGGGCTGGCCTGGAAGAGGGGCAACCGGGACAGAATCCGGCGCCCCGACCGGGACTAGAACCCGGTGTGCCGGCGCCGCAAGGCGGAGGATTAGCCTAGTGAGCCGCGGCGCCGGCCTAGCAGGCTAATTTTTAAGTTGATGATGTTGTGTGGTCAGTGAGTGATGTTATAAATATCCAAATGATCCTTGGCAGAAAAAAAGTCCCTCACTCTTGCTCTATTGGCTTGTGTTCTCAGACTTGGGAAACTATGTATCTGCACTTGGATCATCAGCTACCATTATGTGATAAGTCCCAAATCTTTATCTTCATCAAGAAAAGTAACATGGGACCTACCTGTTCCACATTCAAATCCTGGTTCTACCACTTGATAGCTGTGTGGCCATTGGTGGATTACTAATCTCATGTAACTCAGTTTTGTTTTTTATAAAATAGAAATAATAATAGCACCTACCTATTATGGTTATTGTGAGCATTGACTAAGTTAATAAATGTAAAGCACTTAGGATACTGACTAGCATATAGTAAGAGTGATAGAGGTTGATTGCTACCATCATCTTTCCTTTAGAGATCACACAAGTAACTCAGACCTGGCAAATCTCAGAGTAATCCATTAAAATTCCAAGGGCCTTCTCATCTGAATTAAACACTCCTTTCTTTGTACTACTGTGCATATATTTTCATTGTTGAATTTATCATGCTATACTACAGATCTTTATCTGTTGTTTCTCTAATCACAATGATCACCATAAGGATGGTAACCTCATATTTTTACTTGATTTCTTCTAACACTTAGAACAGAGCCAACCTGTTTCTTAAATATTTGTGTGAATGAATCAGTATAGCTTATTTAAGACTTCATATCTCTTTTTTTTTTTTTTTTTTAATTTGACAGGTAGAGTTAGTGAGAGAGAGAGAGACAGAGAGAAAGGTCTTCCTTCCGTTGGTTCACCCCCCCAAATGGCCGCTACGGCCGGCGCTACGCTGATCTGAAGTCAGGAGTCAGGTGCTTCCTCCTGGTTTCCCATGCGGATGCAGGGGCCCAAGCACCTGGGCCATCCTCCACTGCCCTCCCGGGCCACAGCAGAGAGCTGGACTGGAAGACGAGCAACCAGGACTAGAACCCGGTGCCCTTATGGGATGCCAGCACCGCAGGTGGAAGACAAACCAAGTGAGCCACAGCACCGGCCCCGAGACTTCATATCTCTTAACCATGTCCCCTGAGCTAGCCCCTGACCTCCAGTCTCCCTTTCTTGCAATATAGTCTCTTTACTGTTACCAAAGGGATTTTATATTAATTAACTGCTTAAAATTTCTGGATAGTTCATGATAATTTAAAGGATAAAAAAAATCTTAACTTTTTAACCTATTTTACTAGGATCCCACAAATATAGCACCTGCCAGGCCTTCTTACCTTATCTGTTATTTCCAGCACACAACTGTAATATTTTTTAAATGCCATGATGTCTCAGAGTCAATCTGTTCATACGTATGGTATCCTGATTGATACAGCCAGGCAAGTATCCAGCCCTGCCTGCCCCTGGTTCTGCAGCATGTGAATACTGTATGGACAAAGGTGTGACAGTGAACC